TTTCAGTTTTTCTTTTTTAATAAAATTTTCCGTACCCACTGTATGTGACCAAATTAGTATTCCAGTTGCATAAAATACAGAAATAACAGAATAAAAACACCACTGAGCAGCAAATGTGTAAAATATGAATTTGGTTTAATTTTTTTTTTATTTTAAGAATACAAAGCATTGTTTTTATCAAAACACTCCATTCATTCATTCATTCACAAACATTTTCATTTTTTTGTCTTTTCTGACACGTCATAGGTTAAGTAATTGATTATAAACACAATAGATACAGTAGATGAATCAATAAAAGACATAATGTGTGTTTTTTGTGATTAAAACTGGAAGATCTTTGGTTTAAAGCCTCACAGATTGGACGGTTTGGTAAACAAGAGCTACACTGACACCGTTACAAGTATTATGGTACTGAGGGTTAAAATCTCTGTGGTTTTTTAATTTAAAATCTGTCCGTCTACTTCCTGTTGATGATCGGAGAAGTTCAGGTGCTCATCAGTGCAGTCGGAGAGAGGGGTGGTTCCTGTCAAGGCTCGGGCAGCGGATAATCTGGAGGATGGTTTCCCTCACGGAGGCGTCCGAAACAGCCGAGCAGCAGGTCCACCGCCGTGCTGACGGTGGACTGGACGTCCTCTTCGGTCTGACCCCTCAGAGGATTCACCTCCACCAAGTCCACCCCCGACAGAAGACCTGCAAGACAAACAGGAGTCAAAGTCACAAAACAGAGTGTTTGGTTCGTTATTGACCTTAACACAAAGAACTTATTGTTACAGTGAATGTAAAGAGTCTATACCGTGACAGTGTTCCTGTGAGGCTGTAATAAACCACAGATGTGCACTGAGCTACATGCTAACACCAGCATGCTCATGTTTAGTTCTCTCTCTCTGTAATAATTAACCGGTAATGTTTGAAAAACTCAGAAGGTTGTTTGTTGTTAAGGTTTTTCCAGAATCCCCAAAGATCATCAGGCTGCCATCTTTGTTCTGATTCAGAAAAAGAGTCAAAACTTGGAAAACAGGTTAAAAATCTAAATGTGGAGTAGACAGATTTTTGTTCCTAAACCATTTCCGTACCGATTAAACAAACAAGTTCATCTGTGCTGGAAGGTTGATTTTGTTACCGTGGGACAGAGCCAGGCTAGCTGTTCTCCTTTATTCGTCTTTATGCTAAGCTAATATTACTGTACAGACCAGAGAGAATACTGTAATGAGTCTGTGTGTTTGTTTCTGAGTCGTACCTGTCTGACACAGGTGTTCAGTGATGTAGACTCCCTCTCTGTAGGTGAGCCCTCCGACTACAGGTGTGCCGGTCGCCGGGGTAACGGAGGGGTCGATGGCGTCGATGTCATAGCTCAGGTGGATTGGTTTCTTTACTCTGAACAAAAAAGAAAAACACATTTATTGTAATAATGTGCTGAGTGAGTGTAACATCCATTTTGTTCTGGATTGTATCCCACCATCTTCAGCAGTGTTCCTGTAGATATTTAAAATTCCCAAATTTCTGAATTGTTTTTGAATTGTTCATATCTTACGACTGATTTTTCTATTTCAGCTCATATGTCCTTAAACTTATTGTCCATACTAATTTCAAAAGGTGCTTCATAAAGTTTATTCACCCACGTTGAGCTGCTGCTCAATGGACCTTCTGGAGGGCTTTTCTTTGGTCAAGATAAACTTTTATTCTCAAATAATACAGTTGTACATATTTATTCCATTGACTGCAAAACAGTACTGATGCCCTCGACAAGGACACACTGTTTTTAGTATTTTTCAAATTGAATATCCTATCTTTGTGGCAGCCATTGGTTTCTGTTGATTTCTGTTAACTTCAGACAGATGAGCGAGTACAGTCAGTGTTTCAATCTACGACAGTTAGCCTCTCTGATTAGCTACAAACAGGTAGCACACAGAAACTTTTACAATCGGCTTGAATGTGCTTCTAGTGACTGTAAAAGCTGCAGTGGGTACAGAGATTCTGTTAGCGCTGTTAGCTCTGTAGCTCTGACTACCAGCTGGCTGTTCCTGCGACACTGCTGTGGTGATCACGGCCACTGACGTTACTGTCTTTTGCAGGTCTCTGATGCATTTTTTTGAATTTGCTGCAAGGGAGGAAGCTAGCAGTGGAGCTCACTTGGCAGAGAGGTAGTCACACGTCTGCTCCATGACTTTGGATACACCGAGTTGATCCACCTCTCTCATGGAAAAGACCTTCACACCCAGGAGCTTCAGGATGTAACTGTGAAAAGAAAAGAACATCTTTTTACTTACTACAAAAATACTAAATATCCACATAATAAAAATGTTATAATGATGCAAACTCCATCGCTGATATATTTTTTGTATGGATGTGGATGTTGGCAACAAGTCGTCAGTGGACTGTTTTAAAGGCACAGACACAAAAACACTGCAAATCCCTGTCAGAGGCGAACTTCAACCAATCAGATCAACAAACCATATAACGTAGTCAAACTCTTATCGAAGCATTACCCGTTAAACATCAGCATGTTAGCATGTTGATGTTAGCTCAAAGAACTGCTGTGTCTATGTAACGCCTCACAGAGCTGCTAACATGAATGTAAACTCTTCCATCATCCATTCCCCCAAACTCAGAAACCTACTGCTCTCCTGGGTCCACGTCTCTTAAACCGATGTAGACGAGATCTTTGGCTGACACACATGGCTTGATCCAGGAGAAATTTGGCAAGACCGGAATCTGTTGACACGAAGAACAACAGAATCTAAATATTCAACCGATCCAGATATCCCAGAACCAGACATTACATGTACAGTGATAAAGTTAATAAAATAATAAGTTAAAGTTAAGGAACTGACCTTTGAGTGCAGCTCATGGAGGAGGTAAGACATCGGCTGCCCGTGGATGTTTCCGGTGGTGGAGGTCAGCGGCGTGTTGATGTCAGCGTGTGCGTCGACCCAAACGACGCTCAGCTCCCCGACCGCCGCAGAATGACCGTGGATGGAGCCAATCGCCAGACTGATGAACACAAGACAAACCACAGAGACAAGAGAGCTCACTATGATGCCTGGGAACACACAAATTACATCAATTTCATACATTTACAGATTCTGATTATAAATATCAACAAATAAAATCTGATATGTTAACACAGATTAAGCCAGTTCATGGATACGTAGTTCACTTGTGTTAGTTGGCACTGCCATTTCTCTGACTGCTGCTGTTTTGACTGGGTCTGATTTAACTCTCCTTTGAGGCAACTCACATTGTTAAGGGTTGTGCCTGCAGTGTCTAAGACTGACTGCAGACGGGAATCATGCTCTTCCTGAGAGCGCCCCCAGATCATCCATATAACAAACTACCCCTTCAAGCCTTCAGTGCCCTCTATATTCATCCTGTTCTGAACATATTCAGGTGCAGAAGTTATCCCAAATGGTAGGCGGTTGAAGTGGGAATGGCCAAATGAAGGAGTGATGAAGGTTGTTAGCTTGGTGGACTCCTCTGCCAGCGCGATCTGCCTGAGGCCATACTGCATACTGTTTACTGAAGATACGAGCACCAGCTAGTGAGCCTGTTCAACAGAGTATGTACCATGGTGTTTTGCTGCTGCATTAGACCACTGCACAACTTCAGATATCTGTTTTTCATTGTCTCTACATGGATGCACTCGAGCTACCAGATACAGTGTTGGTGTATGGACGAGTGCAAACCTCTGATCCCAGAACTTTAGAGTTTATACTGTTTAATGAAGCCTTTAAACTGAGATGTTGGGCAGTTAAAGTGGTGTGTTCAGGCTGTAATGAGCCCATAGAGCAGACATTTACTGAATGTGAAAGAATATGTTCACTCTGCAGACATTATTTCATTCTTCTGTCCTGCTTGATCTATTTTTACAAACAGCTTTTATCCTCCACATGACTGGTTTGTATATTTGTTCTTCTATTTTTACCTGCAAGCTGGAAATAAGAGCGAGCGGTGAGGTTTGGACTGAGACGATCCTACGGTTTGACTGTATGTCCGGCCGGTGGATGATTGACAGACCGAGATGCTGCTGGACACCAAAGTTAACAATCCACCAATTTAAATATTTACTACATTAGAGTTGAGATTCAGATCGGTGGCGTCAATGTGTAACAGATAACAGACACACACATTTTATCTTTATCATGAAACTGTGAGTGTGTGTTATTATCAGATTTCCTTGTTTTCCCTCTGACGTCCTCCGGATGCTCGGCTTCAACTCTCTGTGACTCACAGAGTTTCTAATGGACAGATAGCTTAAGCTAAAGTAGCTAACTGTTAATTAACTGCTGCTAACTGTATCTGCCATTAGCGGTCGACAGAACCGGGCTCAGCAGCCGGACCAGGATTGAACCCAACCTCCGAGACCGACAGGGAATAACGTTACAGTACCGCCAACTGCTGTTAGCTCGGTCAGCTGTTAGCAGCTAAGCTAACTGACTCAGCAAGGAGCCAAACCCGGCAAGAAAACCACCTCGGTGCTGGAACTGTGTTCGCTGGAAGGGAGATGTTGATGCTAGCTCATAGCTCTAGCATAGCAATAATATAAACAACACTTTCTGTTTCATGGAGACTTTAAATTCAATTTCCTGTATCTGTTTAAAAATCAAAGCCCTGTAGTGTTTCAGTGGACTATAATTCCTTCCTTAATGGTTTTTATTGTGAAATATTTGCAGGAAGTGGACCTGTCGACTGAGACAGTGACTCAGTGTTCAGTATTTAAGACCCGGCTTTATTCGCGGTTGATACGGTAACAAACTCACCTGTGGTCTCCTCCCAGCATCACTGACGTGTGTCCATCCTTCTTCACATCCCGCACTGCCTCTGACAGCCTCTGGTTGGCGCTGCCCACCGCCCGCGCTCGTTTCACCCGACCCACCGGCTCATCGTCCACCACTTCCTCAAACGTCAGGTTCCCATAATCCTTCACTGCACAGCCTACAGACACAGGGGAGACGGTCACTGTGTGATCGGGTGAACTGACCCTTTAATCTCCATCGTCCTTTCTTTCTGCGCAACATCAGAAACAGGCTGTTTTTCCCAGAATGTGAATGTGAATTTTACAGAACACGCCGGTGGAATAAGTGACTCATGTAATGTCTCTGTCACTGTGTAGCTACGAAAGACTTCCTGATGGAAACACACCTCCGGAGGGTTGAAAGCTCAGGAAGCATCTAGTAAGTGGACCTTGAGTTGACACACACACACGCACACACACACACACACACACACACACACACACACTCAGATCTATTTCTGTGTGTGTTGTTGGATCAAGGTCGGACGCCTCTGCGATCTCGTCGGCTGGGTGCCAATAATAAAACTGTGCGTGTGTGTGTGTGTGTGTGAAAGAGATCTGAGTCATGCTGCGCACACACACACACACACACACACACACACACTTCCTGTAAATCTGATCAGATTAACATTGTGTCCCAGATACAAACTGAACACCGACTGTAATAAGAAAGACTAAAGAAGTTCAAAATATCAACCTGCAGATTAATAATAATATAATTACTATTGTTATTATTATATTTATTATCATTATTTGATTATTAATATTATTGTTATTATTACTGTTTATCTTCCAATAAACCAGCAAATTGTCTCTGTTTTAACATAGTTTTTTTTAATGTTTTAAGTTCTTAACGATCAAAAATATAACATTTAAAATAAAGTGAAATATAATAATTTTACAGTCAAATGAATCATAATTACTCCCATTAAATGTGCACATCAATAACCGTCAGCTACCAGTACAACCAGTACAATGAATACCACCCTTTAATAAACTCTGTTGTCCCTGTGCTTCCTCTGGGTCATTTGTTCATTCATACGTTATGCTGATGATACACTGATCTATATCTCTGCTGAACCCAATAACCAATAATCACCTGTCCTCTCTCCATGAGGGTCACTGCAGTGGATCAGTTTTTTGGACCATTACGCACTACTATCAAACCCACTGCTCAGAATCTGGGTATCATCTTCAACCAGTATGACATTTGACCTTCATGTTACACAACTTCAGTCCTGTTTTGTGCAGCTACGAAATATAGCAAAAATCTGAAGTTTCCTATCCTCCAGTGATCTTAAACAATTAATTCACAGCTTCATAGATTACTGATTACATAGATTATAGATTACTGTAACTCCCTCTACACGTGCCTCAGTCAGGCTTCGTTAAATCGTTTACAGTTAGTACAAAATGCAGCCGCCAGACTTTAACCAGAACCAGCCGTCGGTCCCACATTACTCCTGTTCTCGCATCCCTTCATTGGCTTCCGGTAAAATTCAGAATCAAAATTTTACTGATTACATATAAAACACTTCATGACCCCCAGTTACATTTCGCCATTTCAGTTCGTATGTGAAGTTTCTGCTGACACTCTGCGGGACCTCGACCCTCATGTTGGGAACCAGTCCCCTGAATATACAGTAGTTCAACCAGTACAGATTATTGATTAACAGTCCAATAATGTCACAATGTACTGCACAGTACTCAGAATACACACACACTCAGACACACACACACAGTAACACAAACAGTAACACACAC